GAGCGAGCATGGCAAAACGTCTCTCCCTTGTATCATGTCCTTTCTTTCCTCCTAAACAACGAGGAGTCCGGTGGCACCTTAAAGACCAACAGATTTGTTTGGGCAGAAGCTTTCGTGGGTAAAAAACCCACTTCTTCAGATGCACGGTGTGAAAATTACAGATACAGGCATAAATATACTGACACGTGAAGAGAAGGGAGTTACCTTCCCAGTGAAGAACCAGTGCTGACAGGGCCAATTTGGTCAGGGTGGATGTGGTCCACTCCCAATAATTGATGAGGAGGGGTCAGTACCCAGAGAGGGGAAATTGCTTTTGCAGTGAGCCAGCCACGCCCAGGCCCTGTTCCAGCCCAGACTGATCGCGTTACGTTTACAAATGAATTGTAGCTCTGCAGTTTCTCTTTGAAGTCTGTTTCTGAAGTTTTTTTTGTTCAATTATGGCTACGTTTAAACCTATACCAGAAACCCACTGACCGCTATCTTGCCTACATGCCTCCAGCTTCCATCCAGGACACACCACAGGATCCCTTGTCTACAGCCAAGCCCTAAGATACACCCGCCTTTGCTCCAACCCCTCAGGCAGAGACAAACACCTACCTGATCTCTATCAAGCGTTCTTACAACTACAGTACCCACCTGGGGAAGTCAGGAAACAGATTGACAGAGCGAGACGGGTACTCAGAAGTCACCTACTCCAGGACAGGCCCAACAAGGAAAATCCCAGAACGCCAGTGGCCATCACATACAGCCCCCAGCTAACACCTCTCCAGCACATCATCAACGATCTACAACCTATCCTGGAAAACGATCCCTCACGCTCCCAGACCTTGGGAGACAGGCCAGTCCTCGCTTACGGACAGCCCCCCAACCTGAAGCAAATACTCACTACACAGCACAGAAACACTAACCTAGGAACCAATCCCTGCAACAAACCCCGTTGCCTACTCTGTCCCCATATCTATTCAGGGGACACCATCAGAGGACCCAGTCACATCAGCCACACCATCAGGGGCTTGTTCACCTGCACATCCACCAATGTGATCTATGCCATCCTGGGCCAGCAATGCCCCTCTGCCATGTACATTGGCCAAACCGGACAGTCCCCACGTAAAAGAATACATGGATTGGGGGAGGGATAGCTCAGTGGTTTGAGCATTGGCCTGCTAAACCCAGGGTTGTGAGTTCAATCCTTGAGGGGGCCATTTAGGGATCTGGGGCGAAAATTGGGCATTTGGTCCTGCTTTGAGCAGGGGGTTGGACTAGATGACCTCCCGAGGTCCCTTCCAACCCTGATAGTCTATGATACACATCGGCCATCAGGAATGGTAACCTAGAAAAGCCAGTAGGAGAGCACGTCAACCTCCCTGGACGTTCAATAACCTGGTTAAAAGTAGCCATCCTTGAACACCGGCCTCCTCCTTGTTTTTGAGGATACAGACTAACACAGCTACCCCCCGCTACTCCTTTCCTCTTGGCTTTGCCCCCGACCCCCAGAGTCGGGTGAGCAGGACCTCATCGCACTCCCAAGCTGCCCAGAGGAAGGGGGTGTCTCCCTCGAGGGTCTCACGCATTCTTCTGTTGCTGCCTAGGCCGGTGTCCTTTGCTCCCGCATTAAGCCACGAGGACACGCTTTCAGCCTCATAACTACATACAGGGAATTACAACCTGTAACCTCCCTAGAACAGCGACTGGAGGCACCATGCTCCGCGCATCGTGAGCCTTCCCGAGACACCCGGCCTGGCAAACTTTGCCTTGGGTACACCACGATCATTTTAGAGAGATGAGCATGGAGGTGGAGGGTGTCCCCCCAAGGTACAGAGCGTCACAAGGGGTCCCCGGGTAACCAGCCTCCCCCACCCCACCCCAGAGCCAGCCGCATGTCAGCATAGGGGGCGGGGTCCCTGGATAACCAGCCCCTGCCCCACCCCGGAGGGGCCGCATCTTGGCTGGGGGGATGGTGACTCTGCTCCCTCTCTCCTTGCACGGCCTCAGAAACGCTACGAGCCCCACACGGGGCGTCTGATCATCTGTGGCCACAGGACGCTCGACCTGGACGGGATTTACTGCCTGCTGAGTGACGACCACGGCGAGACCTGGCGCCTGGGGGGGGCCCTGCGCGGGATCCCCTATGGGCATCCCAAGTTACCCCACGACTTCAATCCCGACGAGTGCCAGGTGAGCAGGATGGGACCCAGGCGTCCGGGACCGGTGCCCCCGCAGCTCCCAGTGCCCAGACGGGGAGGGGATGGGACCCAGGCGCCCATGGCGAGCGGGTGGCAGGGTGGAAGGAACCCAGGCGTCCAGGTTAACCCCCCCCTCCCCCCCACAGCCCTACGAGCTGCCGGACGGGTCGCTGGTGATCAACGCCCGGAACCAGAACTTCTACCACTGCCCCTGCCGCATCGTGGCCCGGAGCTGGGACGCCGGCGAGACCCTCCCGCCCGAGGCCGTGACCTTTGACCCCACCCTGGTGGACCCTGCCGTGGCGGCCGGAGCCGTGGTCACCGGCGGGCTGGTCTTCTTCAGCAACCCGGCCAATGCCACCCACCGTGCGTGGGGGGGGGGCAGAGATGGGGAGGGATCGGGGGCAGAGCTGGGGGGTCCCTGTGGGGTGCGTGAGCTGCAGGGGGTTGGCTGTAGGGGGCAGATGGGGCATGTGGGGGGTGCATGGGGAGGGAGGGCAGGGGCCTGCATTGGGGGAGCTGCGCAGGGGGGTGGGGGGCACATGAGGGCTCCGAGCGTCTCACCCGCTTTTCTTCCCACCCACCCCCCCCCCAGGCCTGAATCTGACCCTGCGCTGGAGTTGGGCCAAGGACACCTCCTTGTGGCAGCACCCCCTGCAGGTCTGGGCGGGGCCCAGCGGCTACTCCTCCCTGGACGTCATGGAGCCGGGGGACCCCCGCAGGGAGCCCCCCACCCTCTACCTCATCTACGAGAAGGGGCGGAACCAGTCCATCGAGAGCATCTCATTGGTCAAGATCAGCCTCTCCGGGAGCCTCTGACCCCCGCCGGCCCCCCCCCCCACTCCCTGGCCCCAGACAGCACTGAGACCCCTGGGGGTCCCTACCTCACTCCCAGCCTGGCCCCAGGAGCGCGGGAGGGGGAGGGAATCGGCCCTTAACCCTGGAATCAAAGGGGAGCTAACGACCCACGGAGCAATAAAGGAAACAAAATTTCCCCCATGAGTCTCTGGCCGGCTGAAATAATTATAAGGGGGCTGCGGGTGGGGAGTGAGGGGCACCGGCAGGGCTGGGGGGGGGGGCAGGGCCGGGCTGGCAGGGGCTGTGGGTCAGGAGGGGGGTGACACGGAGTACCCAGGCGATGCTCTGGACCTGCTCCCCATGAAGCTGGGCAGGACTCTGGGGCAGTCCCCTCTCGGGGAGCAGCCTGTCTGCAGGGCACACAGCTCCCCCGGCTCCACCTTCCTGGGTCTGACCCCGGAGCCTTCAGCCTCCCCTGCCCCTCCGTGCGCTTCCCACAGCGAGTCCGCCTGGGCGGGGTCCTGGGGGGCCAGAGGGTCCTGCCCCCCAACTCCGCAGTCAGACGTGACTCTCAGCCAGCCAGTAAAACAGAAGGTTTATTAGACGACAGGAACATGGTCTAACACAGAGCTTGCAGGTGCAGAGAACGGGACCCCTCAGCTGGGTCCATTTTGGGGGGCAGTGAGCCAGACAACCACGTCTGCCCTTCACTCCATGTCCCAGCCAGCCCCAAACTGAAACCCCCTCCAGCCCCTCCTCCTCTGGGCTTTGTTCCTTTCCCGGGCCAGGTGGTCACCTGATTCCTTTGTTCTCCAACCCTTCAGCTCTCACCTTGCAGGGGGGGAAGGGCCCAGGCCATCAGTTGCCAGGAAACAGGGTGTCGGCCATTCTCTGTGTCCAGACTCCTGCACACACCTGCCCTCTAGGGCTCTGCAATGATCATACACCCTCACCCCACCCCCTAGAGACTGGAGAACTGCCTAGGGGAAACTGAGGCACCCCACACTATTCAGAGGAAACATTAAGAACAGTCCCGCCTTGTCATGGGGGGGGGCACCGGCAGAGCTGGGGGGGGCAGGGGGCTGCGGGTCAGGAGTGAGGGGCACCGGCAGAGCTGGGGGGGGGCAGGGGGCTGCGGATCGGTAGTGAGGGGCACCGGCAGAGCTGGGGGGGGCAGGGGGCTGTGGGTCAGGAGTGAGGGGCACAGGCAGAGCTGGGAGGGGCCCAGAGCTGGGGGGGCAGGGGGCTGCGGGTCGGCAGTGAGGGGCACCGGCAGAGCTGGGGGGCAGGGGTGCGGGTCAGGAGTGGGGGCACCGGCAGAGCTGGGGGGGCAGGGGGCTGCGGGTCAGGAGTGAGGGGCACCGGCAGAGCTGGGGGGGCAGGGGGCTGCGGGTCGGCAGTGAGGGGCACCGGCAGAGCTGGGGGTGCAGGGGGCTGCGGGTCGGCAGTGAGGGGCACCGGCAGAGCTGGGGGGGCAGGGGGCTGCGGGTCGGCAGTGAGGGGCACCGGCAGAGCTGGGGGGGCAGGGGGCTGCGGGTAGGAGTGAGGGGCACCGGCAGAGCTGGGGGGGCAGGGGGCTGCGGATCGGCAGTGAGGGGCACCGGCAGAGCTGGGGGGGCAGGGGGCTGCGGGTCGGCAGTGAGGGGCACCGGCAGAGCTGGGGGGGCAGGGGGGCTGCGGGTCGGCAGTGAGGGGCACCGGCAGAGCTGGGGGGGCAGGGGGGCTGCGGGTCGGCAGTGAGGGGCACCGGCAGAGCTGGGGGGGCAGGGGGCTGCGGGTCAGGAGTGAGGGGCACCGGCAGAGCTGGGGGGGCAGGGGGCTGCGGGTCAGGAGTGAGGGGCACCGGCAGAGCTGGGGGGGCAGGGGGCTGCGGATCGGTAGTGAGGGGCACCAGCAGAGCTGGGGGTGCAGGGGGCTGCGGGTCGGCAGTGAGGGGCACCGGCAGAGCTGGGGGTGCAGGGGGCTGCGGGTCGGCAGTGAGGGGCACCGGCAGAGCTGGGGGGGCAGGGGGCTGCGGGTCGGGAGGGGGGAGCACACGTGAGGGGGGCGCTAGGACCCAGCCCCCCCTCCCCCGGTACCCAGCGCAGCCCGGCCATGGCGAGCCAGTCGCAGGGAATCCAGCAGCTGCTGCAGGCGGAGAAGCGGGCGGCCGAGAAGGTGGCAGAAGCCCGAAAACGTGAGAGCCGGGAGGGGTGGGGGGCGGGAGGGGATGGGGGGTGGGATCTGGAGGGGGGGATGGGTTCTGGAGCAGGAGGGATGGGGATGGGGGGTGGTGAGGGGGGGAGAGGCGATGGGGGTGGGGAGATCTGGAGGGGGAGCGATGGGGGGGTGCTGAGGGGGGGAAAGGGGATGGGGTGGTGGGATCTGGAGGGGGAGGGATGGGGGTGCTGGGGGGGAAGAGGGGTTGCGGGTGTTGGGTTCTGGAGGGGGAGGGATAGGGGCTGTGGGGTGGGTGGGAGAGGATGGGGGGATGGGTTCTGGAGCAGGGGGGATGGGGGGTGGTGAGGGGGGAAGAGGGGATGGGGGTGATGGGTTCTGGAGGGGGAGCGATGGGGGGTGAGGAGAGGATGGGGGGATGGGTTCTGGAGATGGGGGGAGGGGATGGGGGCGGTGGGATAGGACGGTGGGTGGAAGAGCATGGGGGGATGGGTTCTGGAGGGGGAGGGATAGGGGCTGTGGGGTGGGTGGGAGAGGATGGGGGATGGGTTCTGGAGCAGGGGGGATGGGGGGTGGTGAGGGGAGAAGAGGGGATGGGGGTGATGGGTTCTGGAGGGGGAGTGATGGGGGCTGGGGGTGGGTGGGAGGGGATGGAGATGATGGGTTCTGGAGGGGGAGCGATGGGGGGGTGAGGAGAGGATGGGGGGATGGGTTCTGGAGCAGGGGGGATGGGGGATGCTGAGGGGGGAAGAGGGGGAGGGGATGCGGGCGGTGGGATCAGGACGGTGGGTGGAAGAGCATGGGGGGATGGGTTCTGGAGGGGGAGGGATGGGGGCTATGGGGTGCGGAGGGGGGAGAGGATGGGGGATATGGCCACAGGGCAGGGGGTCTGATCTGATGGGGCTGGGGGTTCAGGGGTGGAGTGGGAGGGGCTGTTGGTGGAGTCTGGCTGTAGGGGGGAGGTTGGGGGGATAAGGGGGGGCAGTTGACGGGCACAGGGGAGAAGCGATACTTGGGGGTCGGGTGACGAGGGGACAGGGTCTGGAGTGGGGTTTGGTAGCAGGGAGGGGGGAAGTCCTGGGGCAGGGGGCACAGCTGGGGGGAGCAGACGTTGGGGTGGAGACCCCACAGAATCCCCCCTGGGTTTGGGGGCATCGAGGAAGGGTCCCCCGATACCAAGGACGGGGCCTGGGAGCCTGGACAGATGAGGATGGAGAGCCTGGACTCCTGGGTTCCCTCCCGGCTCGGGGAGGGGGCTCTTGTAGCTGGGTGGGGGATGCCAGCCCGGACTCCTGGGTTCTCTGTCGCCCCCAGGGAAGGCCCGGCGGCTGAGGCAGGCGAAGGAGGAGGCGCAGGTGGAGATCGAGGGGTACCGGCTGGAGCGGGAGCGGGATTTCCAGCAGAAGCAGCAGGCGGTGAGAGGGGGTGCGGAGAAGTGGGGTCAGGGGGAGGGGTTGGCTGTTGGGGGGTAGGTTTGGGGGCAGGATCAGGGCTGGGGTTGGGGGGATTGGTGGCTTGGAGGGGTCGGGGGCATGGGAGGGGAGGTAGGGGGGCAGTGGTGGTGGTCGGGGGGCAGTGGGGCAGTTGGAGGGTGGGGGGATATTGCAGAGGTCTCCGCCCCGGTCTCACCCCCGTCTCCCGCAGGTGCTGGGCTCCCGGGGGCTGTGGGGGGTCGGGGGCAGGGGATTGGGGGGTTCTCCGCCGGTCTCACCCCCGTCTCCCGCAGGCACTGGGCTCCCGGGGGCGGCGGGGGAGGTTGGGGGGCTGCGGGAGGTCGGGGGGCAGGGGATTGGGGGGTCTCCGCCCCGGTCTCACCCCCGTCTCCCGCAGGCGCTGGGCTCCCGGGGGAGGCGGGGGAGGTTGGGGGGCTGCGGGGGTCGGGGGGGCAGGGGATTGGGGGGTCTCCGCCCCGGTCTCACCCCCGTCTCCCGCAGGCGCTGGGCTCCCGGGGGAGGCGGGGGAGGTTGGGGGGCTGCGGGGGGTCGGGGGCAGGGGACTGGGGGTCTCCCCGTCTCACCCCGTCTCCCGCACGGCGGGGGGGGGGGGAGGGGGGGGGGGGGGGGGGGGGGGCCCCGTCTCCCGCAGGCGCTGGGCTCCCGGGGGCGGTGATGGAGGTTGGGGGGCTGCGGGGGGTCGGGGGGCAGGGGATTGGGGGGTCTCCGCCGGTCTCACCCCCGTCTCCCACAGGCGCTGGGCTCCCGGGGGCGGCGGGGGAGGTTGGGGGCCTGCGGGGGGTCGGGGGCAGGGGACTGGGGGGTCTCCGCCCGGTCTCACCCCCGTCTCCCGCAGGCGCTGGGCTCCCGGGGGCGGCGGGGGAGGTTGGGGGGGGTCGGGGGCAGGGGATTGGGGGGTCTGCGCCCGTCTCACCCCCGTCTCCCGCAGGCGCTGGGCTCCCGGGGGTGGTGATGGAGGTTGGGGGGCTGCGGGGGTCGGGGGGCAGGGGATTGGGGGTCTCCGCCCGGTCTCACCCCCGTCTCCCGCAGGCGCTGGGCTCCCGGGGGCGGTGATGGAGGTTGGGGGGCTGCGGGGGGTCGGGGGGCAGGGGATTGGGGGGTCTCCGCCCGGTCTCACCCCCCGTCTCCCGCAGGCGCTGGGGGGGCTCCCCGGGGGCGGCGGGGGGAGGTTGGGGGGCTGGGGGGTCGGGGGCAGGGGATTGGGGGTCTGCGCCCGTCTCACCCCCGTCTCCCGCAGGCGCTGGGCTCCCGGGGGCGGCGGGGGAGGTTGGGGGGGGTCGGGGGCAGGGGATTGGGGGGTCTGCGCCCGTCTCACCCCCGTCTCCCGCAGGCGCTGGGCTCCCGGGGCCACGTGTGCGCGGAGGTGGAGTCGCAGACGCGCCGGCGGGTCCAGGCCATGCAGGGGGGCCAGGCCCAGGGCAAGGAGCGGGTCCTTCGCCAGCTGCTGGGCCTGGTGTGCGCCGTGCACCCCCAGCTGCACCCCAATTACCGCCTGGCCGCCTAGGGGCTGCCCCATTCCCCCCAGCCCTGCCCCCTGTCCCAAGCTCCACCCCAATTACTGCGTGGCTGCCTAGGGGCTGCCCCATGGACCCCCCAGCTCCACCCTCTGCCCCCCGGCTCTGTCCCCTGCTCCCCAGCTGCACCCCAACCGGGGGCGCAGAGCTCCCTACCCCGTGCCCCCCCCCGAGAGCTCTTGTGGGTGTGCCCTGATCCCTAATGGACTGATTGTCCCCTGAACCCTTAAACCCGTCCCCTCCAGCTGTACCCCAAATATCCCAGCTGTCCCCCCAAACTGTCCCATCCAGCTGTACCCCCAGCCCCTCCCCACCAGCTGTCCCCCTATATCCCAACCCCGCATGTCTCCTGCACTGATTGTGCCCGTGAAATGTGAATAAACGGTGACCAGTGGAGAAAGCCTCGTTATTTCACAGCGTGGGGTGGGGCAGGACACCTGGGTTCTATCCCAGCTCTGGGAGGGGCATGGGGTCTATTGCATTCAAGCAACTGGCTCTGGGGTGAGGCGTGAGGGGCTGGTTATATGGGGAGCCCTCGCCCGGCGCTGAGCTGCGGCTGGCTCTGGGGTGAGGCGCGGGGGGCTGCTTATATGGGGAGCCCTCGCCCGGCCCTGAGCTGTGGCCGGCTCTGGGGTGGGGCGCGGGGGCTGGTTATAGGGGGAGCCCTCGCCCGGCCCTGAGCTGCGGCCGGCTCTGGGGTGGGGCGCGGGGGCTGGTTATAGGGGGAGCCCTCACCTGGCCCTGAGCTGCGGCTGGCTCTGGGGTGGGGCGCGGGGGCTGGTTATAGGGGGAGCCCTCGCCTGGCCCTGAGCTGCGGCTGGCTCTGGGGTGGGGCGCGGGGGCTGGTTATAGGGGGAGCCCTCGCCCAGCACTGAGCTGCGGCCGGCTCTGGGGTGGGGCGCGGGGGCTGGTTATAGGGGGAGCCCTCACCCGGCACTGAGCTGCGGCCGGCTCTGGGGTGCAGCAGAGGGGGTTCACTTTGACGATAGCGACCATCGTTTCTCCCCTCTCGTTCTCCTGCCCCCCCATCCCCATCTTTCCGGGCCCTTCTCGCCAACCCCGCCCCTCGCACTGTGGTTTGACTGGCTGCACCTGGTGAGCAGGAGGTGGCTGGGCTCTGGGCACCCCAACTTCCGCTGCCTCCCATTGAGCTCAGGGTGGCACCGGGTCCAGGGGTGCAGCCAGCAGGTTGCGTCCTTCCCTGCCACAGTGTTTGCAGCCACTTTGCCCCGTGCCTGCTCCCGGGTACCAGCCCCTCTCCAAGGGGGGCTGGGGCAGCGCGGGCAAAGCCCTGTCCAACCGTCGCTGCAGTGCAAACCCCTGACTCTGCAGTTCGAACCCCAGCCCCGGCATTTCACCAGGACCGATCGTGTTTGCACGACTGTCCATACGACCACCCCCTTCCGCTGGTCAGGCTTTGGGAGGCTCTGTACCAGGCCTCTCTCTCACCAACGCACACAGTCCCGCAGAACTCACCGCCCCCACTGCCCCGGATCAGCTCACTGCTAGGCGTGCGACTTGGGGCCGCGTGGCAGTTTGAGCCCCCAGATTGGTGATCTCACATCCATGTGGTCCATGTTGAATGGCGTCAAAACTGGCTAACTGATAGATCTCAAAATGTCCCAGCAAACAGGGACTCCCCGCCGAGAGGCAGAAAATTCCTACTTTTTCTCAACGACTTGGGAGAAAACATCAGAGCGTGACGGACAAAACGTGCCGACGACCCAAACCCCGGGAGAGCGGGAACCGGTGAAGAGACAGGGCCCGGACCCCGAGTGGTCCGGTGGGTCGCAGGGGAGCTGGGCCGGAGCCAACAATCTGCATGTCAACCCGGCTCCGTGTCAACGTCTCCCTCGAGCAGAGCGTGGCGGCCGCAGGGCCAGGCTGGGGGAAGCGGCGCGGGTTGAGGGACGTGCTGGCCGCCACTTTCCACGGCCCCCATTGGCCCGGAACGGCGAACCCGCGGCCAGTGGGAGCTGTGATCGGCCAAACCTGCGGACGCGGCAGGTAAACAAACCGGCCCAGCCTGCCAGCGACTTCCCTGATAGGCCGCGTGCCAAAGGCTGCCGATCCCCGGTCTGAAGGAAGGCCATCAGCTGCCGTTTGGAGGCAGTTATGCACAATACTGAAGATCTCTTTCTAAATTGGCCTGCAGCTTTCGCCACATATTGCTTTCCCCACAGTGCCTGGCACCCCGAAAGTTAGCATTGGTGTTGCCTGCACAGATTCTCAGTGGGAGAAAATACCATACCAGGGAGCAGGTTTTGGTCCTGTTTGTTCGACGCATCCCCACTAAGTGTAACAGAGGAACACTTGTCCGACTCACGCCGCACTTCTTCAGTGGGTAAAGGAGCTAGGACGTCGCAAACAATTGCCTCAGATTTTGCGCCAGCAGATGAAAACTTAGGCTGGCAATTTCATAATTATTTGTGAGGTACGGTGAGCGGACTGGAAACCCTGTCCGTGCCGGACTGAGTGGGCAGCAAACACCCCCTTGCTGCCAAAACCTTTTTCCGCTTCTGTGTCTTGCCTCAGAAGAAACCCGGAAACGGTTGGAGATAAACAAGATTCTCGGCGTCTCTGTGTTTCTTGCTCTGGAGGTGCATTTCGGCCGCCGTGATCAATGGAGCCACGGGTTCCACACGTCTCGCGGACCCCTGGGCTGTCGGCCGGTGCCGAAGGGCCTTTCGTTAAAAAACTTGAACTGCTTTTGGAGGTCTTCGTTAAAATGACACAGCCGTTCCAGAGACATTTTTCTAGCCAGAAAGGACCACAGGCAAACTACTGCTTCTTCTAGGGACACAAAAGAACCAAAGCAACACGGGCAGCAACCCCAGCTGGTGATGGAAGGGAGCTGCCAGCTGGGCGACGGAGCGGCAGCCGCTTGCTGGTGACGCCTAGCTCCGAAGACAGCGCCCAGGCCCGCCGCAGCGCAGAAGTCAGGGCAGCGCGGTGACCACTGGCTCAGCCCAGCATCTGAACACAGCGGGCTCAGGGCAACTTTCGGCTACCACAAAATGTGCAATTAACGCCCCCTCCCAGGCTAGGCAAACCCTGGAGCTGGGACGAGATGACCCCGCTGCTTTCAGCCTGCAGCTCGGCGAGCCAGCAACCATCAGCGTTCGCCAGTCAGATCGGGCGGACGCTGACAAGCCATTTAGCCAGGTGCCCGTCGCTGACGTGGGTTCCCACCTTCTCCGTGCTGGCCGTGTGCCGAACGGACAGGGAAATGAACCCACGTGGCGACCCAGCAGGTTGCTCGCAGCCGTCTGCGTTGAGCCTGGCAGTAAGGAGGGCTCAGACGCCGGGGTGGTTATACCAGGCCAGGCTGACGTCTCCGCTCTGCCGTGTGGCCGGAGAGCGGGCGCTGCTGCCGGGGGGCCAGCCAGCGCTGCCGGCGCAAGTCGGGGACCTGTGCCCAGTTTGGGCCAAAGAGTCGGGACGGCTGGGTCAGAGCTGGAGAAGGGGACTGTGCTCCCCCTCACTATAGGGAACATGGCATTATGTGGGCGTGGCCAGAAGGGGGTGCGGCATCACATGGGGTGTGGCCAGAAGGGTGCGTGGCATAACAGGGCATGGCCAGAGGGGATGTGGCATCAAGGGGTGTGGCCAGAGGGGACTGAGGCCTCATGGGGGACATGGCCAGAGGGGAGCATGGCACCACAGGGGTGTGGCCAGGGAGAAGCGTGGCATCATAGGGGCGTGGCCAGAGGGGAGCATGGCATCACGGGGGTGTGGCCAGGGAGAAGCGGGCCTCATGGGGGACGTGGCCAGAGGGGAGCATGGCATCACGGGGGTGTGGCCAGGGAGAAGCGTGGCCTCATGGGGGACGTGGCCAAAGGGGAGCATGGCATCACGGGGGTGTGGCCAGGGAGAAGCGTGGCATCATGGGGGCATGGCCTGGGGGGGAGCGTGGCCTCAAGGGGCTGTGGTCAGAGGGGGACATATCATTATGGTGAGCATGGCCAGAGGGGAGCGTGGCATCACAGGGGCGTGGCTGGGGGAGCGTGGCATCACGGGGGTGTGGCCAGAGGGGAGCGTGCCCTCAAGGGGGCGTGGCCAGAGGGGAGCATGACATCACAAGGACGTGGCTGGGGCGGGGGGGGGAGCGTGGCCTCAAGGGGCTGTGGTCAGAGGGGGACATGTCATCACGGTGAGCATGGCCAGAGGGGAGCGTGGCAACATGGAGGGCTGCCCCCCCCCGGCGCCATGACCCCCAGTGACGTCAGCCCAGGACAAGGCCTCAGAGGCAAAGTGAAGCCTGAACCAAACTACTCCCAGCCCCTCCCCCCATGGCCAGCACTGCCAGAAGGACCCCGTGGGAAAAACAATCCCCCCGCTCCCTCCGGCTGCGGGGAGAGGTGCCCTCCTCAGTCGCCTGATCAAACACATGCACCCGCGAATCCGGAGCGCTCGGGTCCGTCCCCGTCGGGGGAAAGAAATGCTACACAGTGCCCCACTGTTGTGTGTGTGTGTGTGTGTGTGTGTGTTTTTTAATCAATCAGGCGTTGGGCTAGACAGCCCCGTCCGGCGCTGGGTCCTCGCCGCCGCGCGCTCCGCTCCTCCCCCGCCCCGCATGCCGGAAGTGGAGGCGCTGCTCACTTGTGGCCGCGGCCGCTGCGCGGAGGAGACTTGGGCGCCCCTCCCCCCGCAGGAGGTAAGAGGCCTCGGCGAGAATCGGTCGCGCATCGCCGCCATCTTGGGGCATCCGCCGCCCGGGGGGGCCGATACCCCTTCTCCGGGCGATTCTCTCTCCGATGGGCCCGGGCTCGGGGGCCATTTCCCGCTCCCGACCCCCGATCATGGGCCTGGAAGGGGCCCCGGGGGCCGGGATGGACGGATTCCCCATTGTGCGTCTATATGGCCGGGAATCCAAGATGGCGCCGGCCCTGCTCCCGTCTCCTCCTCCCGGCCCGCTCCGCCATCCGCGAACATCGGCCCCGTCCTGCTTCCCTGCCCCCGGGGGCCCGGCCGAGTGGGGAGGGGGGACGCCCCCGCCGCCCCCCAGCGGGATATTGGGGGGCCGCGAAGTAAACAAATAAAGAAATATGGCGCTTAAGACGCCCCCCCGGCTATAGGGGGAGCCTATGGCCAGCCGCAGGGCTCCTTGCAAGCGGGGGTGGGGGGGTGCAGTGCATGGGTGCGGGGTGCAATATGGGGTATATAAGGGAGGGGGCGTGGGAGTTGCAATGCAGGGGGAGGGGTGCAGGGTGGGGGCGGCAGTGCGGAGGGAGGGGGGTGTAATGTGGGGGGTGGGATCTCCCCGGTGCTGGGGGTGGAGGGGGAACAAGGGTGGGGGGTGCAGTTAATTGGGGGTAGTGTCCAAAGGCTGGGTAGGTGCATGGGGGGGCGGGGCCCCTGAAGTGTGTAGGGGCCATGGGGGGGGCGTGGAAGCAGATTCCCCCCCATCTATTGCAAGCTGCATGTGGAGACTTGGGGGCTGCCCCCTGGCAGCCTGGGAAGCAGGTCGCTGTGGGGTGCGGGCAGCCCCTGTTTCCTCCTGGTTGGCAAGGGAAGATGGGGGCACCTCCGTATTTCCTGTCCCCACACCCCAGGGAGGGGTGTGGGGTGCTGGGGCAGCTCCCCCCAATCCTTGACATTGCTGGGGGGGGGTGGAGTTACGGGGGGTGCATCTGCCCCCGGCTATTGTTTGCTTTGTCCTGCGCAAGGGGAGGGTTTTGGGGAGCAGTAGACGGGAGCATCCCAATGTCTGACGCACCTGCTGTATGTTGGGGGGGTAGGAGCGTGACCCCAAATCGTAATCTCCTTCCCCGCTCCCCTCCGAGAGCTGGAGAGAGAACCCAGGAGTCCTGGCTTTCACTGTGTGTCTGGAGTCACTAGGGAGCCCGGGGGCCCCCCCAGTATTGCAGGCTGTAGCTAGGGATCGGGGTCCAGTTTGCAAAGGACACTGGTGGGGTTTGGGGGCTACGGCTGCACCCCGAGGATTGCTTGTTGCACACGGACCTCCCCTCAATGTGGGGCTTCTGGGGCATGGCTGCACCCCATTATCTGCTGCGGGGTACGGATCCAGCCTCCCCCGTACCCACGGTTTGCATTGGAGGTGAACCCTAGTGCCCCTGGAGCTCACGTGTGGGTGGGATCTAGGGGGGCAGCTGCACCTCATTATAGTGGGGGGGCTGGATTCTATATAGCAGTACATGGGGGGGAAATATGGGGTGTGAAAACAGCCTGCCAGGTACTGGGAGGGGGGGGGGAGGATGACCCCCCCAAAACACTCCTCTGTAGCCGGCTCGCACTGGGGCAGGGTGCATGTGTGGGGTACACATGCGGCTCCCCAGGGCACAGTGGGCTCAAGTGGATGTGGGGGTGCAGCAACACCCCCGGAGTTAGTCCCGGGGTGGCTGGGAGTCGAGCGGCACCCCCCGATTGCATGGCTCCCTTGGGGTTAGGAGTTGTGGGGGGTATCTCACGTCCGCAGGGCCAGGGGGTGCTGGACAAAGGGGGGGCATTTGGGGTCTCAGCACCAGTGGGAGATTTGGGGGTGACCCAGTTTGAACCCCATACTTGGGGGGGTGCTGTTGAGGGGGACATGGAGACGTTAGCTGGATAAAGGATTTTCCTAATTGGATTCTAGTCCAGCCCCAAAGCAGGAACTGGCTGGCTCTGGGGGCGGGGAATGGGGTGTGGGGGCGTTGGTCCTGGGGTGAGGGCAGGCTGGCTCTGGGGGCGGGGAATGGGGTCCGGGGGGGCCGGTCCCGGGGCGGGGACTGGCTGTCTCTGCGGGCGGGGAATGGGGTATGGGGGGGGGGCAGTCCCGGGGCAGGGACTGGCTGTCTCTGGCGGGGCGGGGAATGGGGTATGGGGGGAGGCTGGCTCCGGGGTGAGGGCAGGCTGGCTCTGGGGGCGGGGAATGGGGTCTGGGGGGGCCGATCCCGGGGCGGGGACAGGCTGGCTCTGGGGGCGGGGAATGGGGTCCGGGGCGGCCGGTCCCAGGCCCCCGGCTGACCCCGCTGCCCCCCCAGTCTCAGCAGGCCCCCTCCCGGCGCCGCCATGGCGGAGAACGACGTGGATAACGAGCTGCTGGATTACGAGGATGACGAGGTGGAGAACCAGGCGGGGGGCGACGGGGTGGACGTGCCCCCCAAGAAGGACGTCAAGGGCTCCTACGTCTCCATCCACAGCTCCGGCTTCCGGGACTTTCTGCTGAAACCCGAGCTCCTCCGCGCCATCGTCGACTGCGGCTTCGAGCACCCCTCGGAAGGTCAGCCGGACGCCTGGGTCCCACCCCCGGCACTCGGGGGAGGGGGGCCGTGGGGGTCAGAGCATGGGGGCTGGGCACCAGGACTCCTGGGTTCTCTCCCCAGCTCTGGGAGGGGAGTGGGGCCTGGTGGTTAGAGCGGGGGGGCTGGGTGCCAGGACTCCTGGGTTCTCTCCCAGCTCGGGGAGGGGAGTGGGGCCTGGTGGTTAGAGCGGGGTGGGGCAGGGAGCCAGGACTCCTGGGTCTCTCTGGGGGGGGGGGGCCCGGCTGGCGGGGGGGGGGTGGGGGGCCTGGTGGTCTGGGAGGGGAGGGGGCGGGGTGGCGGGGGCTGGGAGCCAGGACTCCTGGGTTCTCTCCGCTCGGGGGGGGGAGTGGGGCCTGGTGGCTGGCGGGGGTGGGGAGGATGGTGCGGGGAGGGGAGTGGGGCTGGGTGGCGCCTTGGGGGCTGGGTGGCGGCTGACCCCAGCCCCGCTGCCCTGCAGTGCAGCACGAGTGCATCCCGCAGGCCATCCTGGGCATGGACGTGCTGTGCCAGGCCAAGTCGGGCATGGGCAAGACGGCCGTCTTCGTGCTGGCCACGCTGCAGCAGCTGGAGCCCGTCACGGGGCAGGTGAGGGGGCCGGGAACGTGGGGGGCGGGACCCACTGGGAACGGCCTGGGGGGGTAGAGCCCATTTCGGGTGTTGGGGGGCGGGGAGAGACCAATTGGTGACTGACGGGGGGAGGGAAGGGGGAGAGACCATTGAATTGGGAGGTGGAAGGGCTGGTTGGAAGTGGCCGGGGGGCTGTGAGGAGGGGGGCTGGGGCTGCGTGGGGATGGGGGTCCCCGCACTAACGCCCCCGTCCCCCAGGTGTCTGTGCTGGTGATGTGCCACACGCGGGAGCTGGCGTTCCAGATCAGCAAGGAGTACGAGCGCTTCTCCAAGTACATGCCCAGTGTCAAGGTGAGGGGCAGGGAGCTGGGCGGGGGGGGCAGCCAGGCTCGGGGGAGGCAAGGAGCTGGTTTTGGGGGCGTGAGGCGCCATCTTGAGGGGTGGGGGCAGGGAGCGGGACTGGGGCGCAGGAGGGCAGCCAGCGGAGGGTCTCACCCTGCCCCCCCCCAGGTGGCGGTGTTTTTCGGGGGCCTGTCCATCAAGAAGGACGAGGAGGTGCTGAAGAAGAACTGCCCCCACATCGTGGTGGGGACGCCAGGCCGGATCCTGGCCCTGGCCCGCAACAAGAGCCTCAACCTCAAACACATCAAGCATTTCATCCTGGACGAGTGCGACAAGATGCTGGAGCAGCTCGGTGAGCGGGGGACCCCCTGGGGCCCCGTAGAGCAGCGGGAGGGGGACACGGGGGGACCCTATAGCGTAGCAGGGGCAGGTTATCCCTGGGGGCAACTGGGCGCATCCCATTCCTGACCCCGCCCTGCACGGCTGGGGGACGTGGGGCAGGTTTCCTGTGGGGGGTCCCAGCCACCCTGGGCTCACCCCGTTGCTGACCTCGCCCCCTTCTCCCCCCAGATATGCGCCGGGACGTCCAGGAGATCTTCCGCATGACCCCGCACGAAAAGCAGGTCATGATGTTTAGCGCCACCCTGAGCAAGGAAATCCGCCCCGTCTGCCGCAAATTCATGCAAGACGTAATTACCCCCTTCTACCTTCTTTGCCCCCCCCGGCGCCCCCGCCCCCGGGGCGGCGCACGGGCCGCAGCGCCAGGACCGGCCCCTAGCACAGGCCCCCAGAGCTTCCGGAAGATCACTCGGGTTACGCTAGCTTCGGCACCCCCCCGGCGCGGAAAACAGGGCGCCCCCTCTTCCCGCCCTCCCCCCCGCCCCCCCTTCCTTCCCAGCGCGGCATCCACCCGGCACCGCAGCCTCCGGATCAGCTGGCCCCATACACCCAGGCAAGTGAGTGCTCCGTCTACCACGCACAGAGCCAGAGACCCCCACCCCCCCTCCCAGCCCCCCCGGCGCTCTGGAGACTGGCAGCACCCCCCGTGGCGAAGAGCAGCGGCGAGAGCGGAGACGGCCCGGCGGCGGCTCGCAGAGACTCGGCGGCGCCAGGATCCGGCTTATCCTTTTTCGGAACCGGCCTCGGGGGGCGGGGTTGGGGCTCACGGCAAATCTTCCCCCTCCCCCCCACCAAGAGCGAGACGTGGGGGCAGTGGAGTGCGGGAGGCAAGGGGTTAATCGGAACCCCTCCTCCCCGAGACGGCCCAGGGGGGCTTCACCTGGGGCTTGCTGGGGGCTACGCCAAGGGGAGGGCGCTTTCCTGGGCTCAGGGTTTGCATGCTGGGAAATTTCCCAGTGCATGCTGGGGGCTGTGTCAAGGGGAGGAGCCTAGAACTTTTGCCTCCTAGCTGGGAGCCCAGTGCATGCTGGGAAATCTCACCTGGCACCAGAGAAGGCAGGCAACCTAGCCGGGTCCAGCCCCTTCCTTGCCTGCCATTTCCCAGCAGGCACTGGGCACTGGGCGCTGGCAGGTTGGCGTCTGTGCCCTCTGGCCGTGCCCTCCCTGTTGGCTGGCTGTGAATGGGGGCATTATGTCTTGGGGGGCTGCTCCCCCCCTCCGTTCCCCAGCGTGGGGCCATCAAGCCAGTGGCACTGGCTGGTAGGGTCGTGGAGAGTAGTGGGGTGCTTTCCCCACAGGACCCCCCCCGCCTGCGGGGGCGGAGCAGTCCAGGGGGAACGGGGCAGTATGCTTCCTAGAGCGCTCAGCCCTGGGGCCCCACGGCTCGCAGCCCTGGGGGCTCGGCGGGGACCCGGCGTCCGGGCTGTTATCCAGGGGGCCCTGGGAGGGTATCTGGGGCACGGGTGGGGCGTGGGGGCGGGGTCTCTCCCCCAGGGCGGGCGGCGGGGTTCACCCTGCTCTGCCCCCCCAGCCCATGGAGATCTTCGTGGACGACGAGACCAAGCTGACGCTGCACGGCCTGCAGCAGTATTACGTCAAGCTGAAGGACAACGAGAAGAACCGCAAGCTCTTCGACCTGCTCGACGTGCTGGAGTTCAACCAGGTAGCGCCCCGCGGACCCAGGCGTCCGGGACGGGGCCCCAGGCCTCCGGGCGGTGCGCGCTCTCTCACCCCCTCCCTCCGCCCCCCCAGGTGGTGATCTTCGTCAAGTCGGTGCAGCGCTGCATCGCCCTGGCCCAGCTGCTGGTGGAGCAGAACTTCCCGGCCATCGCCATCCACCGGGGCATGCCCCAGGAGGAGAGGTGAGGGGGGCTGGGGCTCCGGGAGGGGGGGCGGGATGGGATCCCGGGGTGCAAGCGCTGGGCCCCCCAAACTCTGCAGCCTGGGCCGTGTCCCACAACGCTGGCTCGTGACCAGCCGCAGACCCCCCCCCCGGCAGCCCCAGAGCCGCGCGCCAGCCGAACCCCCCCGGTCCCAGCACTGGACCCCGGGAATACACCGTCGTCCATGGAAGGCGGACGTGCGCCGGCCTGTGCAACCCCGGGCGGGTTTACCGCAGGCTCTGGGGCAGGTCCGCGGGGAATACGTTCCCTGCCTGCAAACGAGATGTCCGGGGTGGGCACGAAGTCGGAGCTCGTCACCGCCAGGACCCCGCAGCCCGGTTAGACCGGGCAGCACCGAGACGAAGCGGGTTGTGGATTGGGACTCGCCTGCTGGACGGGGGCTGGTGACGGCCGAACCCCCAGCCGGGCGCTGGTACCTCCTCCCTGGCATTGTGCCCCTCCGCCGGCTCCAGGGCAGCCGCCCAACACGTTCCCGGGGCGTCGTGCGCGTTCGTGGTGCCCCGATTTGACTTTCAGCTGATCGTCGCCTCGCCCCGATACCGCCCATGGCCTGCTTCGTTGGCACGCTCGCAAGTCTATGTAAATGAGGAATATGGGGGTTACAGGACACTCCCCTGAGTTAGTGTCACAGTGGGGGTGCTTTGTCCATGGGGGGGGGCTGCCGGGGGCTCAGGCCAGGCAGTGACCCCAAATACCTTCCCCTGCCCCCTCCCAGGCTGTCCCGCTACCAGCAGTTCAAGGATTTCCAGCGCCGGATCCTGGTGGCCACCAACCTCTTTGGGCGGGGGATGGACATCGAGCGGGTCAACATCGCCTTCAACTACGACATGCCCGAGGACTCGGACACCTACCTGCACCGGGTGAGCCGGACTCCTGGGTCCCACCCTGCGGGGGTGTTGGGAGCCGGGATGCCGGGGTTCTGTCCCAAGCTCTGGGAGGGGAGTGGGGGCTAGTGGTTAGAGCAGGGGGCTGGGAGTACTCCTGCGGGCATTCTGCGCCAAAACATTCCCACAATATTTTCAAGTTTTGCAAAAACCTGGGAATTTTATTTGTCAAATAAATGTGGAGGCTCCAGCCTGGCAGTGGGGAGCTCAGGCCGCTGGCTGCACAGAGGTGGGAGATCACTGTGCAGCCCCCTCTGCCCCCCAGGTCACGACTCAGCAGGGTGACTGCACCCAACCCTGACAAGTGCAAGGACCCAGGGCCCTGCCCCTCCATGCCAGGTGCACCAGGTGTGGACAGGCAGGCCAGCAAGGCAGGATCCAAGTGTGGAGTGGCTTGCGGGGGGGGATCCAGGTGTGGGGTGTGGGACAGTCTGGCGGCTCAGTGGGGGATCCAGGTGTGGTGGGGATCTGGATGCACAGGGGCTTGCTGGGGGGTTCTGGGTGCAACGGTAATGGGGCTCTGCAGGGGGGTGTCCAGGTGAAGGTGGTTGGGGCTCGGTGGGGTGGGGGTGAGGGTGGCTTGTCGGGGCGGTCCAGGTGCAGAGGAGTGGGGCCCATCGGGGGTGTTCTGTGTGCGGGGCTGGGTGAGGCTCAGCAGGAGGGTATGGGGGGTCTGGATGGGTGGGGGTTGGGTGGATGGGGCAGTAGCTCCCTGTGCAGGGATCCCTCCCCCTGCAGCTAAGGAGCGATGGGCACAGGAAGTGGTGGGAGGGGGAGGAGTTTACAGAGCTTTCTTCAGCCGGGGGGGCAATCTGGGGGTGGGGGAAGAAGTCCCGTCCTCCCCCGGCAGGGCGGGGGAGCAATCTGGGGGTGGGGGAAGAGGAAGTCCCGTCCCCCCCTGCCCCGCCGGGATTAGCAGCTGATCCCAGCGCAGGGTAGGAGCCACCAGCCAGGTCCCCCCGCCCCGGCCCCACAGAGATTTACCCCTCTGCCAGCTGCCCTGGGCACCCGACATACTGCTGGGGAGGGGCACACGGCCGCTCTTGGGGCTTCCCTTCGCTTCCCCGTCAGAAACGCATTTCTCTGCGGGGGACGTGAATTCTGCGCCTGCGCAGTGATGCAGGATTCCCCCAGGAGCAGCTGGGAGCCAGGACTCCTGGGTTCTCTCCCCGGCGCTGGGAGGGGCGTGGGGGCTGGGCGGCGCGAGGCTCTAACCCCCCCCATCCCTATAGGTGGCGCGGGCTGGGCGGTTCGGCACCAAGGGCCTGGCCATCACCTTCGTGTCGGACGAGAACGACGCCAAGATCCTCAACGACGTGCAGGATCGCTTCGAGGTGAACATCAGCGAGCTCCCCGACGAGATCGACATCTCCTCCTACAGTGAGTTCCCGGGGGCCCGAGGGGGCAGCCCCTGATGGGCCGGGGATTGCTGCGAGCACACGGATCCCTGGTGGGGAGCCCAGGGAGGGGTGCAGGGACTGAGGGGGGGTGGCCCTGTCAGCTGATCTCTGCCCCCCACCTCCTTGGAGGCCCGCGGTGCCTGTAGTGTCTTCCCCCCGCCCCTGCCATTCACGTGGGCTCTTCCTGAGATTCCCCTGTGGGGCCCAGCCCCCTGGCTGTGCCGAGGGGGGAGCAGGACGGGGTGTGGGGGGTTCCCTGGGGGCGCAGCCATTAACCTCCCTCTCCTCTCCCTCCCGCAGTCGAACAGACTCGATAAGGGGCGTCCTCGACACTCCTCGTCCCGCGTCGTCGTCCTTCTTTTGGTGGTTTTAACGCCTCCCCCACCCCACCCCCGTTTCATTTCCACGCGACCCCAAGAGCTGAGGAGGAGGATGGCCCTGCCCTGAGGACCGCAGCCCTGTCAGACTTCGGGGGGCGGGACGGGGGCGGGAGAACCACTGGAAGAGTGGACTGGAGCGGTGGGGGGGGCATCAGGACAGCAGGGTTCACCCCGTCCTGCCCTGCTGTGGTGGGAGGATCCCACCCACCCGCTGTGGGAAGCATCCCACGCCTCCCACCAATGATCCCTGACCTTTGTTGGCACCGATAGAAGGATCCCACTGCTCCCACCAACAGTCCCTGAACCCACTTCGCCAGGTGCGGGATCCACCACCGCCGAGCCCTGATCCCACGTGGGCACTAACCCAAGGAGGATCCCAGCTCTGCCACCAGCGCTCCCTGGTCTGGCTTGCTGGCCCCCCCGGAAGACGGCTCCCACGCCTGTCGCCAGCTCCGACCCCGTCCTGTAAGAATTTCAGCCTCGCGAGCCCTTCGCTCCCGGCCGGGCTGACGCAGGGCCCCCTCCCCCGGTTCCCTGCGACTCGAGGCCATTTTTGTTTTTATAGGAAAAAAAAAAAAGAGAAAATCCTGAAAAAAAAGCCCCCACCCCCCGCGTCCTGTCTTTTATACCAAGGTTGGAGCCGGTTTTACCAGCGTCTTGCGGTTTTTGTGCGTTTCCTCGTTTTTCGTTGTCTGCATGGAGCGTCCGGGCCGTGCGGTGCCCTGCCGGGCCAGTGGGCGCTGGGGGCGCCGTGTGCGGCAGGTTTGGTAACGTCGCCCTGAGGATGGATTAAAAGACTTGTCAGAAGCCAGAGCCTGCTGCTGCTTTTTGGGGGGGGGGGGTGTCGTCCCGGACACCTGGCCCCCGGGAGGAACCCCCCCAGTGCGATGGCCCTTCGTGGGGGTCTGCGCTCTCCAGGGCCAGGCCCCGCTGCCCCCCGGGACCCCCCCAGGGAGTCCCCTCACCCTGGCCCCCCCGGCCCCTCCCACGGCTCCGGCCTGCAGGGACTCTCTGCCAGCGTCACAGGAGGGTTATTGGGGGTCTAGACCCACCCCAGGCAGGTCTTGGGGGTCTCAGGCCTAGTGCCCCTCAGCACAGGCCACGCTGGGCCAGGTCCCTCAGCCCATTGTCCTGCCACTGGCCAGAACCAGCTGCTCCCGAGCTGGGGGGGCCCCCAGTCACTGGGTCCCCAATCTCCAGGCCGCGGTCTGGGTCCCAGCTGACAGGCGGGCTCACACCTGGTCCCCAGCAGCAACAACCCCCCTATGCTGTTACACAGGGAAACTGAGGCACACAGTACACATGCAAACACAGGAAAATCCCCTGCTTTGTCACACCTGGCTCCCACCCCCCCTTGTTCTAACCACTGGATTCCCTGCCCCTCCCCCCCCCCCCCCCCAAGCCCGAGGAGAACCCAGGTGTCCTGGCTCCCAACCCGCTTCAATCACTGGACCCACCCCCCTCCCCAGAGCCAGGGGAGACCCCAGGCGTGCGAAAGGAGGTTACAGAGGTTCCTGTCCCACCAGTGTTCTGGGCTCAGTGGATTTGGGGTTCCAGGAGGAGACGGGGGGGGGGGAGCTCCCTTTCCCTGGATTGCTTGTGGGGCTGGGCTGCTCCCACCCTGATCAGCAGGAGTTTTCCCTCGACCCCAGAGCCAGGGCTGTAACTCCCCCCCGCCCCGCCTTGCCCCCACCTGCCCACATCTCCCTCTATCCCGAGGAGCCTCCCCCTTGCCCAGGTCCCCCCCCGATGGAGCAGCCTCCTGCCCCGAACCCAGGTGCACCATGGGAGCGAACTGGCCCAGGGCTCTCAACGTTCCCGGGTGACTGCGCCCCGTTCAGGAGCCGGCTTTGGCTGGCGTCCCCCCGAGTTGAAAACCACGTGCTTCCGAAATCAGACATCAAAGCAGGGAAGCGTCCCAGCCGCTCGCACTGAAATATTCCTTCCTTCCGCCCGTTCCCGTCCAATTCTCCAATCAGCCGCCCCCGGCTCTCGGGCAGTAAAAGCAGGCCGACCTCTAGCTGAGTTGCTGGAGACCCCTGCGGACCCCCGCGGACCTACAGGAACTTCGGCCGAGTTCTGTCAGCCGCTAGCAGTGGCCATAGGGAGGGTTGGTTGCCACCTGGGCAATCTCCCCAGGAGCAGTGGGGGGGGGGGTGTGGGGAGAAAGAGACCAGATCCAGCCCCATAGATACCCAGGGCGAGGGAACGAGGGGAGTAGAGGCTCTTCCCCAGAGGCACCCGGGGCAGGGCGATATGGGGGGCAGGGGATGGGTGGCAAAGGTGGTTTTTTAAATCTTTATTTGGCTGAACCTATTCAGTGAATCTCCCAGCCCAGCCAGGGCCTGAATTTCAGAAGCAAGAAGGGGCTTTGGGGCCATTTTTCTCCCCCGGGGGAGAAGCGGGGAGGAGGAGGGGAGACGAGCCCGACGCACCCTGCGTGGGCCTGAGAGGAGCCGATGGCTCGTCCGCTCCCGGGTCTCCCTGTCTAGCGCGGCCGGTTGGGGATCAGGAAAGGAGTGCGGGCGGCACCTTAGAGACGCCCACGAATCTCCCCGGCCGCCGGAGCCACGACCGTCAACCTGGGGAACGAGAAAGGGAACCCGCCCGTCGGCTTTCGGGCAAGCTTTGTAGCCGCTTCTCCTCGGTCTGACACCTGGAGACGAAGCGGGACTGTTCGTAATGTTTCCTCCGAATGCTGTGTGGGTGCCTCAGTTTCCCCGTGCCATTTCCTACGTCTCTCGGGGGGGGGATCAGGGGGTGGGCTTGTGGCAGAGGCCTAGAGGGCAGGTGTGATGGTGTCTGGCCAGAGAATGAATTCCCAGCTAGCGCAGGGCACCCACGGCCTCTCTGGGGCAGCGGCCAAGACTCCCTCTCGAGCGAGCCACGCGGCTCCTGCCCCAGCCCGGAGCAGATCCGGGGCCCGGGGTTCTCGCTCTGGCTGCAGCTGGGTGGTTTCAGGGGCTCTGCCGGCCACAGCCGGCCGGGGTCAGGCTGAATTTGAGCCAGGGCCGGACGCTGAAAAGGGGCTGTAGCCGGGTCGCTAAAATGTGCCGCTGTCCAAGGGGCTTTTGTTCTTTTGCTCCCCCCCCCCCGGAGAGGCTCCCAGCAGCCTGGGAAAGAAAAGAAAATCCAGGGGCACACGCCTGCTGGGGGAGGGGGCGAGGGGTTTGGGCCGAGAGAAGGGAATCGAGAGGGGCTATGGGGAGGGGAGACGCGGGTGAGTGGCAAGGGGGCTGGGGGAGAATAGGGGTGGGGCCCCTGTGAGCCCCACACGCTCCCCGCACCATGGGAGCCAGGATCTGGGGTGACCTGGCCCCTCTGCAGGGTCTGAGCCCTCTAGCTCCGTCCTCTCTGGAACCCCCTTCAGGTAGGGGAAGGCTGCTCTCAAATCCCCCCTCACTCCTCTCTGCTGCAGACGAAACAGCCCCAGTCCCCGCAGCCGCTCCTCGTTCGTCACGGGCCCCAGCCCCCCGATCATTTTCCTTGCCCTCCGCTGGACCCTCCAATTTGTCCACATCCCCTCCGTAGTGGGGCCCCCAAAACTGGACGCAACACCCCAGGTGTGGCCTCCCCAGGGCCGAACGGAGGGGAACCATCACGTCCCTCGATCTGCGGGCAACGCTCCTCCTAATCCCGCCCGCTTTGCCGTTGGCCTTCCTGGCACGAGGGCCCGCTGCCGACGCGGACCCGGCTTCGCCCACTGTCACCGCCAGGGCCGGTTCGGCAGCCCGGCCGCCGAGCCGCTCGGTCCCCCGCCTGGAGCGGGGCTGGGGATTCTTCCGTCCTAAGGGCAGGACGCGTGGCCCACCGTGGTAAATGGGTTGGGGTCCCCGCTCCAGGGAGCTGGGAATTGAGCCCCGATCTCCGGAGGCCCAGCTGAGAGCCTTCACCGCGGGGCCCGCCTTCGATTTCCCAGCCAGCCGCCTGTAACTCCTGGCGGAAAACGCCGGCATGGACGTGGCGCGCCGGGGGGGCTCGGGGGAAAGTGACCAGGCTGGGCGGGAAAGACGCCCCGGCTGCGATGGGTTTGTCGGGCTGTGAAAGCGTCTCCCAGGGGGGTAGGGCTGGGAGCCCCGGGGCTGGGAACACGTCGGATGGGGCCCCGGGGCCAGGGCTGGAGGGAAGGATCCGGCCTTGGGATCGCACAGGGCGTGGGTGAGATGGGCCCGTCGGGGGATTGTCGTATGTCAGGTTTCTCTGGAACAAAGAACCGTCTGTGGATGGAGGGGGACTGCCAGGGCGGCGGGAGAGTTTGGGGGGCCAAGGCACGGACGGGTGGTAAGGGGGGCTGCGGGTCGGGAGTGAGGGGCACCGGCAGAGCTGGGGGGGCAGGGCTGGGCTAGCAGGGGGCTGCGGTTCGGGAGTGAGGGGCACCAGCAGGGCCGAGGTGGGGGGCAGCCCAGGGCTTGGCTACGCTCTCTAATATGGGGTGCCCCCCTGTTCCTGGGCAGAGGAAATCCCAACACTGTTACCCCACCTGCCTGGTCACTACCCCACTACCCAGCATCTCCGACAGGGACACCCACATTCTGGGCTTTGTGGTGGGGAGTGTCCCGGACTGCAGCCCCCTCCCCCCGGGCTCTCGCGGCTCCGGACGGCCCCCGGGAGTCGCCCCCGCCAGCGACGGCCCTTCCTGGGGGTCCGCTCGGTCCCGCTGCCTCCCGCGATCGCCCCTCTGAGCCTCCAGCCACCTGCTCTGCCGGGGACCCCTCGGGGAGTCCCCTCCCTCCGGACCCCCAGGTTCCCCCAGAGGGAGCGTCGCCCCCCGATCGCCAGCCTGCAGGGCCTCTCCGCCAGCGTCACCCAGGGGGGTTAGTGAGCGTCTGGACCCAGCCCTGGCAGGTCCCAGGGGCTCAGGCCTGGCCAGTCTCAGCCCCGGCCAGCTGGGTCTGGCCCCGTCCCCTGGGGCTCCGGCTGCTCCTTGTCCCCCTTCCAGCCGAGCCCCCATGTCCCCTCCCCTGACAGACCCTCCTCGCCCTTTGTCTTCCGTCCCAGGCTGCTGGGGCCCCCCCTCTTCTCTCCTTTGTTCCCCCCGGCTGGACCCTGCTGCTGGGGGGGGGGCCTCCCGGTCACCCGTCTCTGGGTCCCCCATCTCCAGGTCGCTGTCTGGGGTCCTGGCTGCTGGGCGGGGTCACCCCTGGTCCCCGGCACCAACAACCCCCCTCCCCCGGCCACGTTGTTACACACGCAGCTCAGGGGAAACTGAGGCGCGCACCGTGTTGCTGCGAAACACTGAGAAAATCCCCCACTTCCCGACAGGGGGCCCGGGGGGCTGCCCTCGGCCTGTTCTCCCAGGATCTGTGGGGCGAGGGCCGAGGGCGATGGGGGCAGTGGGTGAGGCCTGGTAGTCGGGCCCCCCCGAGTTGCGATTTTGGGTGTGCCCCCTTTCCCATGGGGGGGACTGGCTGGCTCAGGGGGCCCAATGGGGTATGAGGGGGGGAGGCCAGGAAGCCCCCTGCTACCTGCTCCTCATGCCCACCTCCCCTTAGAAACAGCCCCGCCCCTCGGGGCTTCCGCCATCTTTGTTAAGGGCACCGCCTCCGCCATGTTGGATGAGGGCACGGGGGGCGGCCGCGATCAGGCAGCGCCGGGGGCAGCCCGGGCCCGGGAAGGACCCGGCATAAATAGCCCCGCAGGGAGCGCACGTGTCTCTCTCTGCGCGGGCCCCGGCCGGACCCATGGGGGGGGGCCGGACGCCTGGGTTCCCTGCCGCCGCTGGCCGGCCTGGGTGAGTCCCTGCCGGTGCCCCTCACTCCCGACCCGCAGCCCCTGCTCGGGGGGGGGCAGGACCCGTCTGTCCCCCCCCAGATCAGGGGCAGGTCCGTGGCCGGGGGGGGCTCAGATGAGGGTCTCCTGGGGGCCCCCGAGATCCGGTCAGAGGCTCCAGTGAGAACAAGGGGTTTGCCTCCAGCCCGCTCCAGAGACCGGGGGGTTAGAGCGGGGGGGCCCGGACTCCTGGGTCCTCTCGCGGCTCGGGGAGGGGAGTGGGGGCCGGTGGCTAGAGCAGGGGGGCTGGGAGCCCGGACTCCTGGGTTCTCTCCCGGCTCGGGGAGAGGAGTGGGGGCCGGTGGCTAGAGCAGGGGGGCTGGGAGCCCGGACTCCTGGGTCCCCTCTCGGCTCTGGGAGGGGAGTGGGGGCCGGTGGCTAGAGCAGGGGGGCTGGGAGCCCGGACTCCTGGGTTCTCTGCCTGGCAGGGGGTAAATGCTCTGTTGGTGATTTGCAGGCGGTGGTGGAGTTGGCGCTGAGGCCCCCCCGGGGGCGTTTAGGTAAGTTCCTGCCCTGGCCCCTCGCTTCCAGCTGGGTTGGGCCCCCCCTTCCTCCGGCTGCTTCCCGGGGGGGCCGTTGCAATGATGAATCCGCGAGACTAGAGTCTCCGACCCCCAGTGACGATACGCAGCGCCCTGAGCAACGGTGCCCCTCACTCCCGACCCGCAGCCCCCTGCCCCCCCCCAGCCCCGCCGGTGCCCCTCACTCCCGACCCGCAGCCCCCTGCCCCCCCCCCAGCCCCGCCGGTGCCCCTCACTCCCGACCCGCAGCCCCCCCCCCCCCCAGCCCCGCCGGTGCCCCTCACTCCCGACCCCAGCCCCCCCCCCCCCAGCCCCGCCGTCCCCTCACTCCCGACCCCAGCCCCCCCCCCCCCAGCCCCGCCGGTGCCCCTCACTCCCGACCCGCAGCCCCCCCCCCCCCAGCCCCGCCGGTGCCCCTCACCCCGACCCGCACCCCCCCCCCCCCCAGCCCCCGCCGGTGCCCCTCACTCCCGACCCGCAGCCCCCTGCCCCCCCCAGCCCCGCCGGTGCCCCCTCACTCCCGACCCGCAGCCCCCTGCCCCCCCAGCCCCGCCGGTGCCCCTCACTCCCGACCCGCAGCCCCCTGCCCCCCCCAGCCCCGCCGGTGCCCCTCACCCCGACCCGCAGCCCCCTGCCCCCCAGCCCCGCCGGTGCCCCTCACTCCCGACCCGCAGCCCCCTGCCCCCCCCAGCCCCGCCGGTGCCCCTCACTCCCGACCGCAGCCCCCGCCCCCCCCCAGCCCCGCCGTGCCCCTCACTCCCGACCCGCAGCCCCTCCCCCCCCCAGCCCCGCCGTGCCCCTCACCCCGACCCCAGCCCCTCCCCCCCCAGCCCCCGCCGGTGCCCCTCACTCCCGACCCCAGCCCCCTCCCCCCCCCAGCCCCGCCGTGCCCCTCACCCCGACCCCAGCCCCCCCCCCCCCCCAGCCCCGCCGTCCCCTCACTCCCGACCCCACCCCCCCCCCCCCAGCCCCTGCCCCCTCACCCCACCCCACCCCCCCCCCCCCAGCCCCGCTCCCCTCACTCCCACCCCAGCCCCCCCCCCCCCAGCCCCGCCGTCCCTCACCCCGACCCGCACCCCCCCCCCAGCCCCGCCGGTGCCCCTCACTCCCGACCGCAGCCCCCTGCCCCCCCCCCAGCCCCGCCGGTGCCCCTCCTCCCGACCCGCAGCCCCCTGCCCCCCCCCAGCCCCGCCGGTGCCCCTCCTCCCGACCCGCAGCCCCTCCCCCCCCCAGCCCCGCCGGTGCCCCTCCTCCCGACCCGCAGCCCCTGCCCCCCCCCAGCCCCGCCGGTGCCCCTCACTCCCGACCGCAGCCCCCCCCCCCCCAGCCCCGCCGGTGCCCCTCACTCCCGACCCGCAGCCCCCCCCCCCCCCCAGCCCCGCCGGTGCCCCTCACTCCCGACCCGCAGCCCCCTGCCCCCCCCAGCCCCGCCGGTGCCCCTCACTCCCGACCCGCAGCCCCTGCCCCCCCCCAGCCCCGCCGGTGCCCCTCACTCCCGACCCGCAGCCCCCTGCCCCCCCCCAGCCCCGCCGGTGCCCCTCACTCCCGACCCGCAGCCCCCTGCCCCCCCCCAGCCCCGCCGGTGCCCCTCACTCCCGACCCGCAGCCCCCTGCCCCCCCCCCAGCCCCGCCGGTGCCCCTCACTCCCGACCCGCAGCCCCCTGCCCCCCCAGCCCCGCCGGTGCCCCCTCACTCCCGACCCGCAGCCCCCTGCCCCCCCCCCAGCCCCGCCGGTGCCCCTCACTCCCGACCCGCAGCCCCCTGCCCCCCCCAGCCCCGCCGGTGCCCCTCACTCCCGACCCGCAGCCCCTGCCCCCCCCCAGCCCCGCCGGTGCCCCTCCTCCCGACCCGCAGCCCCTGCCCCCCCCAGCCCCGCCGGTGCCCCTCACTCCCGACCCGCAGCCCCTGCCCCCCCAGCCCCGCCGGTGCCCCTCACTCCCGACCCGCAGCCCCCTGCCCCCCCCCCAGCCCCGCCGGTGCCCCTCACTCCCGACCCCCAGCCCTGGGCTGTACAAGTCAATATTTTCATTAATGACTTGGCTAACGGAGCGGGAGGGTGATGAGCCGAGCTGGGGGGTTGCCAGCCCTTGGGAGTCACAATGATTTTGACCCACTGGAGAATGGGTCTGAATTCAGTCAGATGAAAGTCAGTGGAGACGAGTGCGAAGTACGTCCCTTGGGAAGGGGAAAGGCGGAAACCCAGAACCCCGAGCCGGGCTAGGGGGCCATCCTGCCGGAAATAGAACGGGTCACAAATAGGGGATGAGTCAACAGGGAGATACAGCGGGTGGGGTGGTCCCGGGAGGGTGGGGGGCGGGTCTGGGGAGGGACGGATGAGATCAGACCAGACTGGAGTCACTAATGATGGGAAATCAGGTGGGTCTGACCTGCTCCAGACTTGTGGGAGGGGAGTGGGGTCTCATGGTTGGGGGGTGGGGGGGCAGAACTCCTGGGTTCTCTCCCTGGCTCTGGGAGGGGAGTGGGGGCTGGGGGTTAGAGCGGGGGGGCTGGGAGCAGGACTCCTGGGTTCTCTGCCTGGCAGGGGGAAATGATCTGTTGGTGATTTGCAGGTGGTGGTGATGTGTGGACCTGGTGCTAAGGCCCCTGGGGCATCTGGGTAAGTCCCTGCTCTGGCCCCTCGCTCCCCGCCCCCCGCCTTGTCCCTGTGGGGCCCTTGCAATGATGATTCCGCTAGACTAGAGTCTCTGACCCCAGTGACGATATTCGCAGCGCCCTGAGCAACGGTGCCCCTCACTCCTGACCCGCAGCCCCCTGCCAGCCCAGCCCTGGGCTCCCCCTCAGTCCTGACCCGCAGCCCCCTGCTAGGACATTAACCCTCTCTCCTCTGTTCCCCCCCAGCTGGATTCTCGCCCATGTCTATCTCTGACATGAGCCCAGTGGGGTGAGACCCCTGGGGTCTCTGGATGGAGGGACCAGGACCAGAACAGTGCGGTGGCAGGGTAAGGAGTGGGAAACCGGAAGGGGGGGGCTCTCCCTGGCAGTCAGTGTTGGCCCCACTGCCCCAGGGCAGTGCTAGGGTCCTGTGCTGCAGGGAGTAGAGGGGTTGGGCTGGGTGGCCCTGATCCGGGGAGCAGGGGGTGACGATTTGTTCCTCGACAGGAGCTCCCAGCTCAAGGTTGGGATTCACATGAAATAACACAACTTAGACTGACCCTGCTCCCTTGGGGATTGGATTGGAGGGGTGGGGTGGGGAGATTGGTAACATGGGGTGGCCAGAACCTATCTGTCCTGAGCTAATGGGGGTCCCCCCACCCCAGGGCCTGGCTGGCTGGATCTGACCCTGAGGTCTCCAGATTGGATCGGAGTGTCTAATGACAACCCAGCCTGCTCCAGAGACCTGTGGGGTTGTAGTGGGTTGGGTGTGTCTGGGAGCCAGGATGCCTGGGTTCTCACCCTGGCTCTGGGAGAGGAGTGGGGTCTAGTGGTTACAGCAGGGGAAAGGGGGGCTAGGAGCCAGGACTTCTGGGTTTTTTCTCCTGCAGTGGGACATAACTCACCTGTTTGGTGATTTGCAGACACTGTGATACTTGGACTCAGCAAGGAGGCTCCTGGGGTGTCTGGGTAAGTCCTTCCCCTGGGCTGCTGCTCCTAGCTGGGTCGGGCCTCCCCCCAGTCTTGTTCCCTGGGCTGCCGTTGTGCTGACGAATCCGCTAGACTAGAGTCTCTGATCCCAGTGACGACCCTTGCAGGGCCCTGAGCAACGGCCCCCACCAGACCTTCTGGGGCCCACTGCCAGCCCATCCCTGGGCCCCTCGCCAGGACTGCTTGTGCCCCTCACTCCCGACCTGCAGCCCCAATTCCAGAATCCTTGGCACATCCCAGTGTCCCCCTCTCTCATGTCCCAAAGCCTGGAGTTTGGCCTGACTTCGCTCAGGTTCATGAGGCCTGAATCGTGGCTCAGGGGGTCCTGCCTGTTCTCCTGGGGGGACTGAAAAGCCTTGATATAAAAACATTGATTTTAATCAACTTTTACATTTGTACTTCCTTAGTTTTCCAAGGAAAGGTGCTTGCTGGATTTCGGCTTTGGTTACTCACCAGCACCCCCTCTGGCTGCGACGGAGACTGGAATCCAGGGCCCTGCTCGGTGGGTGATGGGACAGGCTGCTGGACTGAACAATGGATGGGGAAGTGAAAGGAGAAGTGGGGCGACTGCACAGCCCAGGCCTGCCTCACTGTTCAGTGCGGACAGGAGCCAGGGGCTGCGGATTGGGAGTGAGGGGCACCCCAAGCATCTTGCAGGGGAAGGACTTGAGCCTGGGGGTGTCATGTAAAGAACAGGGATGTTGCCTCAATAAACAATCCTGGAACAAATTGAGTCTTTTTCTTTCCCTAGTGGGGGCTGGTTCCGTGGGGCTGGTTCCTCACCTGGCTTGGGGAGGTGGCTGGCTCTGGGGGAGGGGGCAGGGGTAAGGGGGCTCCTTCTGTGGGGCTGGTTCCTCACCCAGCTCAGGAGGTGGCTGGCTCTGGGGTGAGGGGCAGGGGCCTGGCTCTGTGGGGCTGGTTCCTCACCCGGCCTGGGGGGGTGGCTGGCTGGGGGGGGGGGGGCAGGGGGCTGGTTCCTCACCCGGCCTGGGGGGTGGCTGGCTGGGGGTGGGGGGGCAGGGGGCTGGTTCCTCACCTGGCCTGGGGGGCGGCTGCCTGGGGGGGGGGGGGCAGGGGGTTGGTTCCCACCCGGCCGGGGGGCGGCTGGCTGGGGGTGGGGGGGGAGGGGCCGGCTCTGTGGGGCTGGTTCCCACGCGCCGGGGGGCGGTGGGGGGGTGGGGGGGCAGGGGGCTGGTTCCCACCCGCCTGGGGGGCGGCGGCTGGGGGTGGGGGGGCGGGGGGCTGGTTCCCACCTGGCCGGGGGGGGTGGCTGGGGGTGGGGGGGGGGGGCTGGTTCCTCACGCGGCCGGGGGGCGGTGGTGGGGGTGGGGGGGGGGGGTGGTTCCTCACCCGGCCTGGGGGGCGGTGGTCTCACGTGGCCGGGGGGCGGCTGGCTGGGGGTGGGGGGGGCAGGGGGCTGGTTCCTCACCCGGCCTGGGGGGGCGGCTGGCTGGGGGTGGGGGGGGCAGGGGGCTGGTTTTACAGGGGTCACCTGCCCCTGGCTGGTGCTGGGGGGGGTGGGTCTGGCGGGGGGTTAAGTTCTGGGGCCCCTGAGTTGGGGCTGGGGGGGAGCCACTGGGGGCAGCCTATGACCCCTGCCCTTTAACCCCTTGTGACTTGTTGACCTCTGACCCTTCAGCTGCTCAGGGAGGGGCCCTGGGATTACCTCGGGGCACTCCCACTTCCTGTCCCCGGGGGTCCGTTTCCGGTCTCATCAGGTCGTTTCCGGTACGCGGGCAAAATTCACGCTGACTTCCGGTGCAGCGTGTTGACGTCAGTCTCCGCCGTGGGCGGGCTCCGCGTCCTACTTCCGGTGCGGTCGTGATACGCCCTGGCTTGGGGCTCTCCTCACCCTGGCAACGCTAACCCCTGCTTTCCTCCGTCCCTGCTCTCCCCCTCCCGTGGGGGAGTGGGGCTGCCCGTGGCGAACGCCTGAGCCGCTCCCGCCGTGCGGGGCTTGCGCTGCTGTCCGGGCTCCCCGCTCCCGCAGAGCTCCCCTGGCTCATCCCGCGTGTATCGGCGTGTCTGCTTCTTCGGAGCCGGCGGGCGACGGAGTGACTGGGTCCCTCTGGGTCATAATCCGAGCAGGCACTTAGCAGTCAGCTACATGGACAAGAAGGACCCCTATGGGGGCTTCCCGCGGTCGCACATGCGTATTGAAGGCAGTAGGAGCCATGTTTGCTAAGGGCAGCCCTCTCAAATAATAGAGGAGCGAAGCCGGGGTGCGCAGCCATCTTGGAGGTGGGCTGCGGATAGACCGGTTCCCATTGGTTTCCAGGGCAACCCCCGACCGCCATCTTTGTTTAGGGCAAAATCTGGCGGCTCCGATGAGGTGAATCTAGGTCGGTAGCCATTTTGGATGTGGTCGATGGGGCGCTTTTCTCCCTTATACCTAATGGCGCAGCCGCCCCCCTCCGCCATCTTTGTTGTGGGTAAAGAGACTGGCAGCCTGTTAGGGCGAGAGGGTCTGTTCAGGGCCCAGGGCTGCCCCCAGTTCTTTAGTTATTGTAGCGTCTGCCCTGTCCTGGAGGCGGGGAGAGAACCCAGGAGTCCTGGCTCCCAGCCCCCCACCCTGCTCTGACCCACCAGGCCCCGCTCCCCTCCCAGAGCCAGGAGAGAACCCAGGAGTCCTGGCTCCCAGCCCCCCACCAGGCCCCGCTCCCCTCCCAGAGCCAGGGAGAGAACCCAGGAGTCCTGGCTCCCAGCCCCCAACCTCTAACCACGAGCCCCCCCCCTTAGCTTGGGGGAGAACCCAGGCATCCGGGCTCCCGTCCCCCAGACCCCACTGCCTTCCCAGAGCCAGGAGAGAACCCAGGAGTCCTGGCTCCCAGCCCCGCCCTGCTCTAACCGCCAGCCCCGCCTCCCTGAGCCGGGAGAGAACCCAGGCGTCCGGGCTCCCCAGAGGCCCCACCCCTTGCCGGGGGAGTCCCTGCCCAATCCGGTCCTTCCTGAAACCCGACCAGCTGCTGGATTTTCCCCCCATCTCGGGCTGGGCTCGGAGCCTTTTCCCCTCCCTGCCACGCTCCCGGGCCCGCAGCCCCCCCGCAGCGGGGTCCCCCCCACTTAGGGGGTGCTCGGTGCCCCAGGACCCAGCAGCGGGGCCCCGCCTGCGAGGCCGGCCGGGAGCAGCCATGGAGCGAGATTTCCCGGGGACCCCCCCGCCCCCGCAGGTCAGAGAGAGCTGAAAAGCGGGGGGAGGGATTCCACTGGGGGGAGCGAGGCAGGATTTTGGGGGTGCCACTTCCCCCACCGTAGGGAGTTTGGGGGTGAAATCCACCCGCTTTGTTGTTTTGTGGGGGCAGGGAGTTTGGGGGGTACCCCAACCAGCGATCGTGTGGGTGTGTGTTTCGGGGATCCCTCTTTCGGGGTGTACCCCCCCTCTGCCGGAACAAGCAGGGAGGATGGGGCTTTGAAAGGAATCAGCGGGCGTTTCAGGGTGGGCTGGATATTTTGGGGGGTGCGAACCTCTGCTGCCCTCCCTGACAATGTGGGGATGAAATTGACCCGCTGGTGTTTTGGGGGTGCTTTCCCTGCCAGAACCGGGGTGATACTGTGGGGTAAAGTAGCTGGCATTTCAGGGTGAGCTCGCTATTTCGGGGGTGTTCCCCCCCAATCCGTGGCCATATGGGGTGAAATCAGCCCGCTGGTATTTGTGGGGGGAGCAGCACTTTTGGGGTGTCTTCTGCCACCGGCACAGAGAAATAGAGACTAAACTTCATGGGATTTGTCTGTCAGAGGATCAATATTTTGGGGTGCGAAGTGCCATTACACGTGGCAACCGGTGCGCCTGACCAGCGCGGATTGCTAGAGATTGGGGTACAGTGTTTGGGAGGGTGACCTCACCCGCACTGACAAGGTCGGGGTGAAATTAATCAGCTGGGGTGCGCTGTAAGGGGCTGAGATTTTTCTAAGGATTTTTACTGTTCAGAGACGGGGTAAAAATGTCGGGGTGCAGGAACCGTACTGTGATCTGCTCTTAATGAGGATGAGCCTGTTTCAGGGGCGCAGCATTTGGGGATGTCTTATTTCTGCTGTGAGCAGAATTGGTGTAGGACAAAGGAGAAGTATTTTGGGGTGTATCAGTCCTGCCACGACTGGATCCTAACAAGGATTTGTCTGTTTCAGGGGGACCAGTGATACTGGGGTGACCCAGCACTGAGGATGTGAGCCTGAAACAAACCAGCTGCTGTATCTTTCAGGGGACCCAGAATTTCGGGGGTTTCCTGCCCCAGAGAGTCAGGGGAGTGAAACTGATGATCGCTATTTTTCGAAGGGTCAGTATTTTGCTGCGGGTGGACAGTTCTTGCCGGCAGAAGAGACATGCTGGGGTAGATTGAACTGCCCGGTGTGTGTTTTGGGGGGCCCCAGCACTTTGGGGTGAATTAGCACCATTTCCAGTGGATACAACTCAGGGGTGAAATTAACAAGGAGCCATATTTTTGGAGGTGTCCCAGCTCTGCCCCCAGCCCAGAGAACTCAGGGGGCGAAATCAACAAGGATTTGTCTCTGTTGGTTGAAGGGATATTTTGGGGTTCTGTTAGCCCTGGCGCCGGCGGATAGAATTGGACCTTGACAACACACATCCAGATTGGCTAAGGGACCAGTATTTTGGGGTGAAGGACCCCAGGCCCAGCAGAGACAACTGAGGGAGTGAAACTTACGAAGATTCAGATCTTTGGGTGACAGCAACTGCCAGGGGGACTGAAATTAACCCAGACACGGAGGAAATTCGTGGCTATTGTGGGGTGAAGGGTTTCCGATACGGCAAAATCAAGGAGCTGGCGTCTGGTTCTGGGGAGCAGCACGGGACCCTGACCTAACCAGGTTTTTGTGGAAGCCGGCTTCAGAGGGGAAAACGCCCCAGAGAGAGTTTAGGGGAGGCTGGTGCGTTGGAGAGGCGAGCTGGCTAGTCCCCCAAGGTCTGGACCCCTCTCACTGCTCCCTCCGTCCCGTCACACCCCAGTGCTGATTTTATTTGGGGTGCTGGATTCTCACCGGTTTCCTCCCATGTCCCTAAACAGAGCCAAGGCCTGGCTGACAAAACTCCCTTGGTGGGGGCGTGCGGCAGGAAAAGAGGGTGGGCCGACGGAGGCCCCCCAGAAATCCCAGTGGTGGGGTGCCCGGCGCCTCCTGGCTCTGATCGGATGGGGACGTGCCGGGGATCCGGGCCCCGCCCCGGGAGAGGGCCTCTTCTCTAGAATCTCACAGGTCCCTCAGTATCTGTCCCCCAACCAGCCGTCGCCTGACATCCCGGAGCATTTCCAGATCTGTTTCAACTTTGCCCGGCACCTGTTTGATCTCTGCGTGGTGACTCTGCTCTGTGCCTGCTCCCCGGCTTTCCGGCTGCTCCTGGATATTTTGGGGTTCAGGGGGCCCCTGAAAGTCTGGCTCCACGGTCTGGCCACCTTCCTTGTCACCACTTACGGGATGTACCTGGCCCTGTGGCTGGTCCAGAAATACCTGCTGCAGTTCGCTTGCCTCTACGGCTTCCTGCAGACCCTGGTGCTGTGCGTGAGTATCCGGGCCGCCGAGGAGGAGGAGGAGAGCGGAGGCATCCCGGGGGGAGTGGACCCTGGTGGCGGGGCAGAGGCAGAGAGGACGGAGTGACGGCCCCGCCCATCCACCTCGCGCCTCTGCAATAAACCACAAGGTCACCAGCGTCTGGGGGTGTGTGCGAGGACCGAGCTCCGCCCACTTTCCACGTGGAGACACGAGACTCCGCCCCCCGGCACTGTGGGGGTGAGGGCACCAGGACCTTGCCCCGCCCCCCTTGGGTACAGAGACACGAGCCTCCACCCCCTGGGACTTGTGAGAGGGGGCGGGGGAGTGGCTGGCTCAGGAGTGTGTGGGGGGGTGTCAAAACCACCGCAGGGAAGGAACCAATCAGAACTGCTGGGATCCCGCCAAACTGCAGGTGGATCTGCGGGGGAGGGGGAAGCGGATCGGAACCGCTGCGGGTCAGGGAGGGCGAAGGGATTTGGGACCACAGGGAAGGGAGAAATGGGGAGGGGGGTATCCGGGGGCTCAGAACCAAGGGAGTGGAGCTAGCTGAGCCGTGGGAGGAGGGATTCTGTGTTGGGGGGGTGGGGTGGGGTCTCTTCTTAGCAATAACCCCTTTCCTTGGTGGCGGATGCCAGGGGAGGGGACCCCCGGGGAGGGGTCTGACAATGGAGATGTGGGGGGTGAGAGGGAGAGAACATGACAGAGGGAGTGGGGAGGTCTAAACCCCCCGCCCCACATCCCGGGCTCCCAGCTGGGGTGATCCCATGTTCCCGCTCTAGAACGATCTACGACATGACTTGGGTCTCCCAGCTCAGGTGTGGTGGGGATAGACACTGTCACCCTCTTGTAGACCAGCCCCCCACCCCATCGCTTCTAATCTTGCTGCTGATCTAGAGTGAACACCATCACCGTGGTGACATTATTTAGAACTGACCGCCGCAGCCAGCCTTCAGGGCATGTGCTGTGGTCTTTAAGGAACACTACATCCCATCCCTACGCCAAAGTGATCTAGAACAAGCCAGATGGGAAATACAAGGCATGATTCAAAACTTTGGTGACCAATCTAGAAACAAGAGGTGCCGGTGATAGTCTAGAACGTGTCACCAACCCTACCGGCACTACGTGCTACTGGGACAGGCCAGTACACGATCTAGACCCTGCTGTTATAATCTAGAGCTTCTCCTGAGGGAGGCCTGCTGGTCTGGAGGCTAGAGCCAGTCCCTGTGGGAAGCCTCTGGCATCTGACCTAGAAAAGACCTCTGGTCTCTGCCTCTTTGCCATCAGCCATCACACAAGCTCTAGAACTAAGCCCCTATTTGACACAGTCTAGAGCAACACCAAGTGCCCGCTTTGCCACACAATCCAGAGCGAGCCCCCTATCTCTGGGGTACACTCCGTCTCCTTGTGACGATTCTCACCAGCAGCCCCCTGTCGCTCTGCAATCTAGAACGAACCCTCCGGCTCCTGGATGTGATCTAGAAGGTCCACTCCCCTTGCCTTGTGTTCTAGCCCATGCACTCGCTGCTGAGATACCATCTATTGCAGCCCCCAGTACCTCCCTCTGTGATCTACACTGCTCCAGAGACCCGGTGTGATCTAGAACATGCTCTGAGACACAGTCCAGAACCCCACCCCTCTTTGTGCTAAAATCTAGAGCACCCTCAGCCCTGCCCAGAAATACCCTAGAATAAGCCTTAGGGTCTGGAGTCTACAGGAAGCTCCCTTCTCCCATGCATGATCTAGAACAACTTTCCCACCATCCCTGCTCTTCCACCAGATTCTGGAAGAAACCCACCCCCCAAACCCACCCAGCATAGGGACAATCTAGCATGACCTACCCTGCACCCAACCCCAGACCGGTTTCCTGCTGTCTTTTCTCTGCAGCATGGTGCTAGACAATAATTCCTTGCACTCTCCAGATCACCCTGATCTAGAACGTCTCTGATCCAGAACACAGTTGAAAGGAGATTTGAGTTGAGAAAAGACTTTGTATGTGATCCTGCCCTGTTCACCTGACTGACCTCCTCCTCCAGGCCCCTCAATCCATGCCTGCAACCCCCCCAGCTCTGCCCCAAATCCAGTCTGTGGGGTCTAGATCAGCATCTATGGTGTGGGGCAGGGGCATTGGAGGCGGGTCCCCCTGCGGGGTTTGCTGCACCATCTCCTGGGCAGGAGGATCGGACCTGAACTTGCTCTGCTCTGGAGCAGCACGGGAGCAGGGGGGGACGGATGGAAATCTGTGACCTTTATCTGTGGATCAATCCAGACCAGCGCTCGAGAGCCGATTCCAGAGCCCGGCTTCCACGCTGGGTTTTAAACCTGTGTTTTATTTAAATAAAATGGAAAATTTGACAGTCAACGAGTGGCCGGCCTGGAATGGTTTTCTTATGTGGCCCGACCGAGACTGCCCCCCCCCCCATTCCATCACACGGACTCTCTGACCTAGATGGGGGACCCCACTTTGCACAGAGCCCCAGACAGAGCTGAGGGCCCCGTCGCACCAGGCACTGCACAGACAGATCGTGAGAGACCGTCCCTGCCCTGGGGTGTTCGGAGGGTCCACGAAGTCCGGATCATTCGTCCCATTTAACAAATGGGGAAACTGAGGCCCAACGGAAGATGAGAATTTCCCAACATTACACGGGAAAGACGTTTCCTTTAAGTAAGGATCAAATAACCGCAGGGAGTGCAGTAGAATATACCAGTCTGGCCCTGCCCCCCACAGCTCTGCCGGCCCCCCTCACTCCTGACCCGCAGCCCCCTGCCAGCCCAGCCCAGCCCAGCCCTGGGCTCCCCCCACCACTGGCCACGCCCCATGTGTCCGTGGGTCCAAACCAGTGCTTAGGGACACGTTGTCATAGATGCGGCAGGATCAGGATTTATTTGACAGGCTCTGCGGAAATGGGATTTCTTCCTCCAGGTGAATGAGGGGGTCAGTCTTCGGGGGGGCCGTTTCCTCAGGGGGGCCAGTCGCAGCAGCTTGGGGGGCTGGCAGAGGGGCGGGAAAGAAACAGAGAAAGGCCTGAGATGGAAAACCGTCTGAGCCTTCAAACAATGTCAATTTCAGCGTCCGATGGGAAACACGGGCCCCGCAGAGCGCCCCCGAGTTGGCGGGGCGGGGGAGACCCAGAAGATCTGCCCCCACAAACCTCAATCCCAGCCACTACCACCCCCACCAGATATGGGGAGTCGGTCATTGGAGGCCTGGCCAGGGGAGGGGGGGGAAATCTGGCTGAGACCTGGCGCACTCCAGCCAGGTCAGGGGGTGTGGGGCCCCTGGGAAGGGCAGGGAATGGGGGGGGCCCTAGGGCTCAGCTCACCTGGCAGTGGGTCAATCAGGAATCCTGAAGCTGGCAGGTGTCTAGGGGGCAGAGAAGAGGGAGAGAGTTGGGGGTGTGTGTGTGGGGAGGGATCACCCCGTGGGGAGGGGAGAGAGATTTCTGGGTGGGGTTGTGTGTCAGTGAGCATTTTGGTGACCCAATAACCTACCCCCAATTCTCTTCCATGCCCCCCAAACCTACCCCTCCCCCCAACACCTGCCCAACCCTCTCCTGACCCCCCAAACCTCCCCCACAACTTCCCTTCTTCCCAGCGCCTCCCAAACCCCTTCCCCCAAATCTACCCCCCCAAACCTCCTCCCTCTCCCAACCCACCCGCTTCCCCCAAAGCTAATCCCACTGGCCGATGGGTGGGGAGTGACCCCCCCCAAAGGCCCCACTCATCCGGGTGTTACCTTGGGTGCGGGGGATAAGCAGGAATTCTTCCATGTCCAGGCAGTAGGCTTGGTTCCGGAAATCCTCAATGCACTCATCGGCCAGGTGGGGGGTGCGGGCTGGGGGACAGGGAGAGACACCTCAGAACTGGGAGAGAACCCAGGAGTCCTGGCTCCCAGCCCCCGTGCCCCTCCCGGAGTCAGGGAGAGAACCCAGGAGTCCGGGTCCCCGCTTACAGTACAGCAGGATCCTTTGATAGTCTCGGTCGCTTTCCTGGACAATGATGGTGTCTGGACACTTGCTGGAGAACAGCTCGGTTCTCATCCCGGGCCGGCCTGTGAGGGGGGAGACAGAGCCAGGAGCTGGGGGCTGCAGGTCAGGAGTGAGGGGCTCCGGCAGAGCTTGCGGGGGGCCCAGGGCTGGGTTAGCGGGGGCTGTGGGTCGGGAGTGAGGGGCACCGGCAGAGCTGGGTGGGGCAGGGCTGGCAGGGGCTGCGGGTCGGGAGTGAGGGGCACTAGGGGGGCAGGGCTGGGCTAGCAGGGGCTGCGGGTCGGGAGTGAGGGGCACCGGCAGAGCTGGGGGGAGCCCAGGGCCGGGCTGGCAGGGGCTGCGGGTCGGGAGTGAGGGGCACCAGCAGAGCTGGGGGGCAGGTCTGGGCTAGCAGGGGGCTGCGGGTCACGAGTGAGGGGCACCGGCAGAGCTGGGGGGGCAGGGCTGGGCTGGCAGGGGCTGTGGGTCGGGAGTGAGGGGCACCGGCAGAGCTGGGGGGAGCCCAGGGCCGGGCTGGCAGGGGCTGCGGGTCGGGAGTGAGGGGCACCGGCAGAGCTGGGGGGGCAGGGCTGGGCTGGCAGGGGGCTGTGGGTCGGGAGTGAGGGGCACCACTCACCTTCTGTGGCCAGGTCCGTGCTCCCTTCCTTACGCAGATAAATCCATGATCTGGGCACGCAGCCCCCTGATTTCCTGGGCAGGAGAAGGGGGGTGGTCAGCTGGAGGGGACTTTGGGGAGCAGGTGGAGGGGGGTGGCTGGACACTGGGGCATGGGGGGTCGTGGGTGGAGGGGCCACTGAGTATCCCGTCTGACAAGCTGCCAGCCCCATGCCCTCAGCCATGCCCAGAGCCCCACAGAGGGGCCCGAGCCCCCCCCACCGATGGCCGTAAACCGATTTGGGGCAAGCTGCCAGGCTCATCCTGCTGCGAACCACCCAATGGGGGTTGTGGCCCCTCGGAGCTCGGGTCCGAGGCCTTCCCCACCCCGTGTCTGGCGTCCGCATGGCCTGGGGGGAGTGGGGAACAGCTGGCCGGGACGATGCGCAGAGATACCCCACGGCCACCCCTCCCACCCCCCGGGGGCCTTCAGAGGGAGAGAAGCAAAATCCCTAGAGAAGGGGGGGGGGGATCCCTTCCTGACCCCACCAGTGAGACCCTGAAGCCTGAGCGTTGGGCACGGCCATTGGGGCGCGCCCTGGAGTGGGGGGGCTGGAGGGGGTTGGGGGGCCGGGCCCCACTCACAGGCGGAGGGCGGCGCGGAGCTGCAGACGCTGGGGCTGGGGGCTCTGCCCCATGTGGAAGACGGAGCTGTCGGTGCCCGCGAAGGTCTCCAGGGCCGCAGGGGTGGCTGCTGCTCCAGAAATGAAGTGCCAGGTGCCCAGGTACTGCCAGGGGAACTGTGGGGCGTCAGGGTCTTGCAGAGCCCCCCCCCAGAGCCCCGCCCAGCCGCCCCCCTGCACCCTCCCCCACAGAGACCCAAGCACCGGCTAGGGAACCCCACACCCTTCTCTGCCTCCCAGGGGTCCCCAAGCCCGATCCCCACATGAACCCCGCCTTCCCCTGAGTCCCCCCCAACCTTCACTGCCCCCACCCCTGGGGATCCCCAGACACCCTGATCCTGGGGAGGGGTTTTCCCCCGGCCCATGCCCCAGTGCTAGCTACCTGGTCCCCGTCCAGCCTGCTGGCTGGCAGTGGGGCTGGGGGGGTGCATGGGCTCAGGGCGCTGATCAGGGCCCCGTACAGGTACAGCAGGTAAGACCAGGTGCGGTGGAGCATGGCGGGTGGGGGCCGGGTTCGGGTTCGGGGCTGTCTGCCGGCCCTTGTCCCTCTGGCCAGCTCACCTTTGCCCTCCCCCCGCCCACGTTAATCAGTAACTCGAGGGAGTCCAGAGTCCCGTGGATGGGAGCAACCCCACGCCCACTGGGCCAGGGGCGGCCCTACGGCATACAGTGCTGTGCGGGAGGGGCTCTGGGGGCCTCCAGGAGATCCAACAATAACGGGCGGGAGGCGGGGATGGAGCTTGCAGGAGACCTTGCAAGAACAGGGCCTGCAGCTTACATGAGACCCTACAATAATAAACCAGTGTGGGTAGCTGGGTGTTTGCAAGGGACCCCCTCCCCACAAGCACACTGAGCCTCAGGAGACCCTATAATAACAAGAAGGGGGCGGGCGGCTGATGCTTGTGAGGGACCCTACAATAACAAACCGGTGTGGATAGCTCTGTGTTTCCAGAAGCCGCTCCAAGAACAGGGCTGGCGCCGCCCGCAGGGTTTTGGGGGAGCCCTGTGGCTGGCATCTCCAGCGTGACGGGCCCTACAATAACACACTCAAAGGCCGGCCCCTGCAGGGTTTCTGGGCAGCCCGGCAGCAGGCCGGGCGGGTTGCTGGGGCTTGGGAGTCACACACACGAGCGAAGGGCGGCCGGGGCCATTTCGGTCGGCGATGAGGAGAAACTTTCTCGCTCTCAGGGGCAAGAATCGGCCTCCGGGGGCGGGCGTCGTGGGATCCCCGTTGTGGGAGGGTGTAAGAGCAGTTTGGACAAACCCCGCTTGGGCCCGTCCCGCCCTGGTCCTGCCTTAGCGCAGGGGGGCTGAACTTGGCGACGTCTCGGGGGCCCTCCCTGCCCGGCGTCCTTAGTGTCTTGGGGGAAATGCTGCAATCACATAAACATGCCTGGGGCCTCGAGGGGTTTGGGGAGACCCTACAATAACACAAACGGGGGGAGGCACGCTCACCATTTTTGGGAGACCCTACAATAACATAACCATGCCCAGGGCCGCTCGTGTTTTGGGGAGACCCTACAGGAACTCAAAGGGGAGTGGACGTCCCCAGTGCTTTTGGGAGACCCTACAATAACAAACTGGCATTCTCTGCCTACCCAAACTCATTGCCCATAACAAAGATGGCGGATGAGGGGGGTATTTCCCCTCCATTGGGGATAGTCCGCCAATCAGGACTGGGAAAATGTGCCCTCAACAAATATGGTGGCAAGTCAGGTGTCATAAGTATGTGCCCATAACGAAGATGGCCACCGCTTTGGCTTCGGCTCCTTGGAGCGCCAAGGCATTGCGTTCCAAAGATGTGTCGGGCCGGGGACTCCGCGTCACCATTTCCACGCCAACCTCCAAGATGGCCGCCGCGCTGCCTTCGCCGCATACGCAGCCGCATGGGCCCGCCCAGAAGAAAGATGGTGGACAAAGGCCTTAGTACGCAGGTGCAGGCGAGCGAGCGCCCTCGAGCCGGGTATAGTAGCCCGAAAACTGCCTGGACAAAAACTTCGCGATCGGAGGCGAACAAGCGGCGTCCCCGCCGCAGAACGAGCAGACCCATCGGCTCGGAACCGAGGAGCGATCAAGGAAGGAGCGGCGGGAGGGACTGT